TCTGTGAGTATGTGCGTGTCTGTGAGCATGTGCGTGTCCTGTGAGCTTGTGCGTGTCTGTGAGCTTGTGCGTGTCTGTGAGTTTGTGCGTGTCATGTCTGTGATATGTGCATGTCTGTGAGTATGTGCGTGTCTGTGAGTATGTGCATGTCTGTGAGTCTGTGCGTGTCTGTGAGTATGTGCATGTCTGTGAGTATGTGCGTGTCTGTGAGCATGTGCGTGTCTGTGAGCTTGTGCGTGTCTGTGAGCTTGTGCGTGTCTGTGAGTTTGTGCGTGTCTGTGAGTTTGTGTGTGTCTGTGAGTATGTACGTGTCTGTGAGTATGTGCGTCTCTGTGAGTATGTGCGTGTGTGAGCATGCGTGTGTGCGTGTGTGTGTGTGGGGGGGGGGGGGGGGGGCATCTGTGTGGATATGTACCTGTGTGTCTGTGAGTATGTGCGTGTGTGTGAGTATGTGTGTATATATATTATGTGTACATGCCTGACCATATTTGTGTGCATTTGTTGTATGTTTGTTGAGTACACATGTCTGAGCATGTTTGTGCATGTGTTTTTAATAATTTAAGAGAGAAGAAAAAAATACATAAATATAAATAAATCAATCAAGAACCACTGACACAGGAAGAGCAAGCGCCGTCGCAGAGGCAAACGAGCTCACTTACTCTTTCTATCGACTCCAGGAGTAACTCGCCCTTTATGTTCTTCTGGCCAGGGCCACTCGGCACCTTGGACCCATTCACACTCTGGGCCTGATTAAATACAAAAATCAAATTCTGTACTAGTCTGTTAGTGCAGCCTCCTTCAACATCTTGTTTTATGCACTTCTAGCCAAAAACATCACACTTCTAGGGAATACTGCAATAATCATTAAGTAACACCCTATCAATTCTGTTCAATAAGGAATCTTCATTCTGAACAATGTCCAGCACTGTTGTAAAACCTAATTATAGAACCTAATTGCATGGCTTTCTGTGTGACCTGCAGATGTAAAAGTATAAGATAAGCAAACTCGGTTTTTTATCCTGTGAACTTTCCTTTTCTTTCCTTAATTCTCTCCTTAAATTCTTTTTTAATGTTTCTGGTATATTTTAATATAGGCAAGTTGAACACTATGTTAAGAAACATTTACAAACTAACAAAATATAATCTAGCTTATAACTGAATACCTGCAATCTCTCTACTCATCATGCTGATCTAAACCATCCATACTAAATTTATACATAATGCTCTTCACAGCTAATAAATGAAAAAAAAAAAAATGGGTGTTTGAGCATTATGAAATACTCTTGCAGGTAAATTTTAAAATATCAAATGAATATGTTGCAAATACTGCCAAACATAGGTTAATATTTCCTCTGCCAATTTACAGACATAAAACATAGACCTTTCTACTTGTGTAATAGTTACAGAGACATCTGAACAAATAAAAAATACATTTACAACAATAAATGGATTCATGTCTTTTTATACTCACAAAACACATTCAAGAAACATCACAAAAATGACAAAAAAATACACAAAAGGCATAGAAATGTGAAATTTGTGCATTATAGACTCTGAAGGTTATTGCTCCCCACAAAGTTAGTCTTACCTCCTTGACAATGATGTGGTTAAAAAGAGGCCCAAATGTGAGTTGAGGAATGGCAAAGTATTTGTAGGTTGTTTTAAACCTGTCCGTGATGTACTCAAACACAGGGTTTCCACTCACAGTCCGTGTGAGGTTTCTCTTCTGTAAAAATGGATCTGGAAAGGAAAAAGGATGAATGTGTAAACAGTACAGTATGGAAGAGCTATGGCTCTGCTCTAAATAACTGGATGGACAGTGATCATACCACACTATCCAGTTGATTAATTTTAAACAATTTAATTAGCCAAAACAGTTTGTGCATAATGGTAACCACACTAAGGAACTTATTTTCATTATGTAGGATGAGTATATATGTAGAAACTATGGCATACCTTGCCTGGAAGCAAATTTCTCTTTTTTTTTCACACTCAACAAGCATTCAGAATCAAATTAGGAAATTTTTCAGCATATTAAAAATAAATAGATCTAATACACACCTTCCACAGTTATTTTTTTGCTCCATGTTTTCTCTGCTCTGGGCATGGGCTGCAACTGTCTCACATTGATGACAAGGTCTGTCATCTTGAAGCCAATGGTATAGAAACGGAACATGTCAAGCCATAGTCTACCCACACTCTGGGTGTTTTGGCACTGCCATTTATCACCAAGTTTTGATGGACCTGAAATCAAATCAAACAAGACCACATAGAGATGCAGATGAACATTTTATATGCACTGAAATTCCAAACAGAAAAAAATTTAGTGGACATTTCCAAAACAAGCTAAGCCTTAAAGTACACTCACGTAAATAAACATCCCCGTCAGGTTTTGGGTGCAAGCTATGTAAAACTGGCAAGACTGGAGGGTTGTGTTGCTGAAGAAAATGTACAACCATCAATGGGAAAACATGAGGTGGGAGAGTTCCACGTGACTGGTCATCCATCTGGCAGAGCTGTTGGACAGAAATGGATACCATCAAAATGACCATTTTCTTCAAACTAGGCACCATTTTTTTCTTCTTTTTTAAATAAAAATGGAAGGTAACAAACCTGTGCAACAAAAGTAAATAAAAGAGAAAAAAAAATTCTCTACAGAGAAGGACAGAGAAACCCATCATTCAAAAAGAGGAGACTAGAGTGAGAAAGAGCATCTAAACAGTATAATAGGTCAGTGCATAAGATCTATAACAATAAATTCACACTTCATATTTGTAACTCTACCTTTGCCCAATATCTGAGGGCAATCCCCAGGGTAAGTACTCTGGGGTCGATCACAGCATAGTCAGCTAAGAGTTGGTTGGTGTGCTTGGGAGAGGTGCTGCCTGCGCCCACCACCATCCTCAATCCGGTGTTTGCGTGGGTGAAGGCCATTGTCGGGAATGATGATGTCAGATCATCTAAAACATCTCTGTGGTAAGAAACACCAATTTCAAAAAGTAAATAGAGAAAAGTAGGACTAACAATCTGCTTATTACTATCTCCCCTGTTATTCAATAATGATCAAAATCAAAACCTAACACATCTTTAATACTTACGTGTACAAGTCATTTTTTCGAACCAACTCCCTTACTGCCAAAAGGGCAATGGAAGGATTAAGGTTCTCGTCCATTACTACATCTATGTTGATATCACTTGTTTTCATGCAGAACCCACTCACAGATGATCCCACCATCTCTAATCTGCACCCTGTATAAAGCAATGTAAATATCAATTATCATAACCATCTACTGACACCATTTTGCTGCATACAGTAATATTCTTTATACTATACTATACTATACATTACTATACTATACTATACTATACTATACTATACTATACTATACTATACTATACTATACTATACTATACTATACTATACTATACTATACTATACTATACTATACTATACTATACTATACTATACTATACTATACTATACTATACTATACTATACTATACTATACTATACTATACTATACTATACTATACTATACTATACTATACTATACTATACTATACTATACTATACTATACTATACTATACTATACTATACTATACTATACTATACTATACTATACTATACTATACTATACTATACTATACTATACTATACTATACTATACTATACTATACTATACTATACTATACTATACTATACTATACTATACTATACTATACTATACTATACTATACTATACTATACTATACTATACTATACTATACTATACTATACTATACTATACTATACTATACTATACTATACTATACTATACTATACTATACTATACTATACTATACTATACTATACTATACTATACTATACTATACTATACTATACTATACTATACTATACTATACTATACTATACTATACTATACTATACTATACTATACTATACTATACTATACTATACTATACTATACTATACTATACTATACTATACTATACTATACTATACTATACTATACTATACTATACTATACTATACTATACTATACTATACTATACTATACTATACTATACTATACTATACTATACTATACTATACTATACTATACTATACTATACTATACTATACTATACTATACTATACTATACTATACTATACTATACTATACTATACTATACTATACTATACTATACTATACTATACTATACTATACTATACTATACTATACTATACTATACTATACTATACTATACTATACTATACTATACTATACTATACTATACTATACTATACTATACTATACTATACTATACTATACTATACTATACTATACTATACTATACTATACTATCCTTATTATCACATATTCTTTTTACTTTTATTTTATTTATCTATGCAACTTATTTCTTCTAGTTCATAGGAGTCCTAATCTAACATAAGTTTACAGCCACATATTTCAAGTCCTGTCAATTGGAGTGTAATGCTCATAGCACCCAAAAGTCACACACAGCAAAGGGACACTCCAAAGGTGAGAAACTCACCTTCCACTTTGGCCGCTAGCAACTTGTTAAGTTCCTTCACGACCTCTTTTCTGGTAGACATCATATCTGGAGTCACTTTCACCTCTTCTACTATCTCCAAGATCAGCTTTTCTACGGCAGCTACCTGTGCTTCAATTGGGGATGGCACATTCTTCAGAGTAGTCTCCACGTCTTTAGCCTGAAGCAGCAAAGCATTCACATCACTATCATAAATGGCTGGCACTAATAAATTAAACAACTGAAATCAAATGAATTAGCCCAATGCCGCATTAACATACATGCAGCCATACCCCGCAGACCAAGCAGTTTGTTATGACGTGTTAATTCAACAACAATGGCTTTAACTAACTCCCAAGTCATGAGCCAGACACCTCATACAGCTTGCCACAGGAATGAAAATTGGAAGCACAGGAAATGTGTCTTCCCTGCTATCTGCAATTATGGCTTTGGCGTATTTGATTTCCAAATAAAAAGATTAAAGGAACCCAAATAATGGCCCAATTAAATGAGATGGCCATTTAGCACAAACACAGAGAAGGCTCAAATATACATAGCATGTGGACTCAGTGCATAACGGCTAAAATAATGTCACTTAGCACAAACTGGTTAACCTATTATAATCAAAGAGAAAATAATACTGCTTACAATCAACATCATTTCATTCTCAATACAATATATAAAGTGTGTAAAAAAAAAAAAAATATCTAAACTATTTTGTGTACTCTACTATCATATATTTAAAAATTTATTACAAAGTAGTAGCTAAGACAATTCTAGCATATATATATATAACAGTAGCTTTCAATTCATATATTACAGTAGGTTCTTTTCAAGTTTTCAATTTAAAATCTTGTCAATAACTGCATAGATAATAAGAAAACATCAATACTTGTTTACATTTGACAGGAAATATAACCTTCCTCATGCCTGTAAATTATATGATAGACCATATTTCCTGACGTCATAAAAGGAAGTGACTCCAGGATATCATAGAAAGGAAGTGATATAATTTTACATCCTCCCTCTTCACTTCCGCATTGTAGTATTTGACATGATATAACATGCTCCTTTGTTTGGGTGGACATCCCACAATGCTTTGGCTTCACTGCCAGTCCTGAGATCAAGGTTCCTAACATGGATGTGGCTTTTCATTCTGACAAGATCTTTAGCATGTTCCTGAGAGGTCTTTGTAACTACACATGCTTTGAGGCATAGCATGCAGTCTAGTAATGGGTTGCATTTATTTCAAATGAATATATCTTTTTATTACCCTCACAATATCCTTGTAAGTGTAAATGAGAGTAGCAAATTTGGTATTATCAGTCTGGAACCTATACAAAACGACCATTAGAATATGCTAAAATTGGATTTTAGCTCTATGAACATGCTAAACATGTTTTTCTCCATATCATCTTCAATATTCTCCCTTGGCAAAACAAGGGGTGTAAAATTGGAGCTTATGCTCTGATTGAGCTGCCCACAGTGTGTGGTTGCTATAGATACATCTGGAAATAAGGTCTCCTCACTCTTAGAGACCCACTGTAAATGAGTTAAAGTAAAAATGAAAAAAAGGACTCTCTATAGCTGTCAGCAACTAAAAGGAGAACAAACTGTGGCCTTTTAAAATGGCAGGCCTACATATTACATCCTTATTTTCAGAAAAAAAAAATAACATAGCTAACTTTTACAACATAAACACAACAATGCAGAAATTATTAGACAAACTCATTTAACAAATGTAGAAACTATATTCTGTTGCATTATTTTGACGGAAAGCAATTTTCGTTATTTCCTTGAAAAATGGCAAAATTAAGAGGTATCTTTTTCAAGATTTGAAACCATGCCATTTTCTTTTATTAATACAATTTTTTTTACTCTTTTTGAGGAGTTACTTCAAGTCTAGGGAAGCAACACTCAATAGTAAAAGGATTCAACATATAATGGGTACCATTACCATTCAGCAATTGAAATGTAAAAACTGAGAAAAACAAAGTATTATATCTGACTTATTCCAAACTCAACTATTTTCTTTCCCATCTCAACTGTTTTATGTTTTATAAAATAAAATTTATAAAGTATTTCTAACTATATTTTTCATAAAGTTTCACTGACAGAATGTTCTTGTCTATATTCATTGATTGTCAATATGACAATCATTATTATTACTATTATTATTATCACAATTACTAACCTCTTTGAGTTTCCTGTGCCTTGCATCTGCAATATGTCTCCTGCACACAATCAAGGAATCACAGTGATAATCACATAATCTGCAGAAGTATTTGGCCTTCGGAAATCTGATCGATTTCTGTAGGGGGGAAAAAATAAAATAGTAACAGTAACACAAATAGACTTCACAATCAATGATGGATGGCATCTTGTGAATCATATTAGGCCTCTTGACCTTGTTGCCTTATGTACAATGACAGATCTGCTTTTGGCTGAAATGCTTTTATATAATAATCACTGAAGTAATCAAATATTTCAAACATCATCATCTACTATGCCCAGTCTCTATACTCTTCTCTTTAATTTCACAATGACCATTACCATACCCCTGAGTGTGCCATATCTTCCCAGTGCAAAGGCAGAGCAGGAATTAACCCTTTCTGCCACAATAGGCAACAAATAAGGCTGAGCATATTGGGCCACACTCATGGCACTATTCATTCTATGTATGAATAAATATGATTGAGTCTTGCAGGTCTGACCTAGAACACCCTTTGCCCATATTCTGATAATATTTTTTGCAGGCATTGTTGATATACAGTTAATGATCATCATACAAGTTTATTGAATATTATCATTTTTCTGCATTTTGTAACAACGAAAATTGTAAAATTAACTGGTTATCACTTTATAGAGAATACAAAATGAATATAAATTCACTTTCATATGACAGGAGAAATCAATTTGCATGGTACACTGGTTACTCAACCAATGAATATTCAAATGATCAATCA